ACCGGTAATTTATCATATGCTGACTCGTGTTACATCTATCATATATTTCAATAAACGTAAAAAAATCCAAATATCAAATATTTTCATCATTATAATGAATCAAAGTTAAATGATTCAATTGAGATTTATAATGTCGAAGACTATGCATGCTTAATGCGAAATATTATCATCTATGTTTGCGGGGGGTGGAGGCGGAGTCTAAAGAATGGGTATTTTAATTAATGCTATTCGTAGTGAAAACTACACGTAGTTGCCATACATGGCATACAATGGTAGTTTGTTATTTGATGCATGAGACAATAAAAACCATCACATTAATATATCAAATAACAAATTGTCATGTATATGTCATGTAGAACTACTAAATGTAGTTTTCCCTATGAATATCATTATTCATTTTAATAAGTTAATGTGCCAAATAAATTATAGGTTAAGATCGTATCTTTGAAAAAGTAATATTAGAATATTGAACATTATTTAAGAGGTGATTAAATTAATAATAGAACTTTAAAATTTTCAAATTATGTCTTCAAAAAATGAAAAAAGAATTGGACAATTTTTTGAAGGCGTATTTCATACATTAATATTAAGTAAGACTGGACAATACAAAATTACTATTTGTTGGTGCCATTTGTATTAGCACTCGGTGAAGTGATAGTGAAGGTTCACATTGTTCAATGAAGTTGCAATTCATATTGGACAATTAAAGATTGACGTTCAGTGCTAACTAGCTTGGTTCGGGTGAATATCATTATTCGTAAAACATATATAACAAAAATATGGACCCCGTCTCGACTTTGGTACTTGCACAGTTGCCCCTAATTAAAAATGACTGCTACTTGTACATTTCGATTGATAGAAAGGATTACAGAAGAAGATTTTCTTGCTAACGTGGATTTTATGAACATAGGACATGTCTTATATAATTTGCATTTTCCAGTTGCTTTTGAAATTTTTGGTATTATCAAATAAAAGTCACAGAAATCATGGACAGACTTCAAATTTAAAGATTTTTGCTTTTGCTTTCTTTAAAGTAAATACAATTAGAAGCTCCTTCACCTCACCTAAACACTAGTTGTGCGGGTTTGTTTAATTTTCTATCGAAATGTCGCAGATTAATTAGTAGTTTCAAGAGACCATCTTTTATCCATGTGCGTCTCTTTACATGATTTATGTGAACTTCAACTAGCGGAGTCATTGCAGCTTGCATGGAACTATCTTCTATCTCATGAACCTCACCAGTCACCTGGTCGCGCTTGCATCTTGCAAAAGACTATGTTCTATCCCATGCTTCAATTAGTAGCATCATCGCAATTTGCAGAACAACCGTTGTCTATCCCGCACCTTATCGAGTGGCGACACCACTACTTGCAGGACGTCTTCTATTTTGTGAACTTCATAAACATGTGGTGCGGATTCACTTACGACCCTCTGGTCATGTGCAGAACCACACTGGGTCATGTGGGGTCAAGTGACCCCATTAAAAAAATTTCTTTTTTATTTGTTCGAAAGTTTTGTAGTTGGCCTTTACCCCTCACTGCTCACATTTACTGACTACAATTTACTCTATTATTCAATAAACACACACAAAAAAAAATTAATAATAATAAAAAAATCCTCCAATCTTCAATTTCAATTTCAATCTCAATTCTTCAATCGTGTATAAAATTTTTATTTTTAAAATTAAAGATTTTAATGTTTATATTTGATTTTTCTCTCATTTTCCCTTCTACTTTTCCTCCTTTTTCACCCAAATCTGTTGCTCATCATTGGAGTTTGTGTTGTAATTGAATTTGAGGCTTGTGTTGCCTGGAGTTGAGTGAAAGTAGGTGATGTATGTAATTTGTAGTCTGTATTGCCAGGGGCGGAGCCCAGTAAGACCCAGGGTGCTTACAGGCCTATCCTAAACTTCTGGGCTTCAATTTTTTTTTATTTTTAGTTATAGGCTAAGTCCCAGCCCAAGAGAGAAATCTCAAAATACCAATATATTATACCCAAGGGCCCAAGTCCAACGTCCAGGTCCAGACCAATCCCAAAAATTTAAACCTCGTTCTCTTTGAAACGGTATAGAACAAGGTCAGATTCTTTAGGTATTCATTAAACAAAGAAACAAAAACCAACAAGTTATTTATGAACACTTCCATATAATCTATTGAGCATAATAGATATGCAAAGGTACCTGGACATGTGAATGTTGTCTTCATCTGATTCTTTTGGGCTATGGGATTTGATTGCAACCCCAAACTACCATTAAAAAAAAATTGTAATGAGAATGGCCAGCAAGTTAAATTGCAAAGGAAAGTGATCCTTTTGAATTACACCATTTAGATTGCGATAATCAATGCGAATTCTCCATCCAATAATTCTCCTTGTCGAAATGGGCTTATTTTTCTAATATTTCATTACCACGATTCCTTCTTTCGCTAACACAACGTGAAATGGATTGCCCCATGCACTGTCTCAAATTGGATAGATAATCCTGGCACCAAAAAGCTTCAATACCTCATCTCTGACCAGCCAAAATGGTTTGGTTTGAAAATTTCCAATAGTTTGAAATGGTTTGGTTGGAAAATAGGTCAAAATTGTCGAAACTGAACCGTGTTAAGCCCTACTTGTAATATTATGAACGTCCTATCTTTATTGTTGATTGATTGATGTAAGATTTAGTACTAAACTGTTATATATACTTACCTTGCTTATGATATATTCATACTTGTATAAATCGTATATATGCCTACAATTGTACGCAATGCATACACTTGTGAAAATTATGAAAAAAGGATTTGTCATAAAAATGTTGAATCGATTCTAATTTGAGAATCCAGTGCTAGTTTCAAAAGTTTAGAATCGGTACAGAAGCACCCAGTTCTCGATTTCTGGAACCAGGACCATATTTTTTAAATAAAACTGGTTCAAAATTGACTTTTCCTATCATGTTCCAGTTAAAATGTCCACCATTACTCCTATCTTTAGGCCACGAGGAGGATATATAAGATAATATTTTCTAGCGTAGATTTGCAATCAAATATCGGCCCATGTTGGAAGGTGAGCTGAGTTTTAGGTTCATTCCTAATTTTGGTTGTGCCCACCCTGAATTACTATCCTGGCCCTGCCCTTGTGTATTGCACTCTTGTAAATTGCCCTTGAGGCGCCGATAAGGTCGGAAGAAGATGCTCGAGTGCAAATTACTGAAGTCTACCATCTTGCATGAATTCGTTCGAGCGTCCTTAAGGCCCCTGTAAGTCATAACATTTCTGATTCCACTCAAACGGTATTCTGGATGAAAAACTCTAACTTCCATCCTTTTCAAAAAAAAAACTTCACGGATGCAAATAAGTACAACAATTGTAGCTACAATTATAGTAGGAGTTGAGTGAAAGTAGTTGAAGTATGTAATATGTAGTTTGTATTGAACTCTTGTAAACTGCCCTTGAGGAGATGATAAGGCCAGAAGAAGACGCTTAAGTGCAAATTAATGAAGCCTACCATATTTGGAGCGCATGAGTTCATTTGAGAATCCGTAAGGCGCCTGTAAGTCATAATGCGTCTGATTCCGCTCGAACGATATTCTTGACGAGAAAACTCTTACTTCTATCCTTTCAGAAAAAACTTCACGCATGCAAATAAGTACAGCAATTGTAGCTACAATTATAGTAGTGTATAATGTTATATTTTTTTTAAAAAAAATTGCAATTTAATTTTTGACTCCACAATATAAAAAATCTAGCTCCGCTATGTGGTTGTGGTTAGGGGTGGACAAAATGATCAAACCAAATCAGACCAAACCAGAACCAAAACAAATTGAGTGGTTTGATTTGGTTCTACAAAAAAGATTAAGGATTAATCTATTTGTACACCTATTCTTTAATCTTGAGTTACACTCCGTTATTTGTCAAAAATCTAGTCATGCATTGAAAAAGGTGTTGAAATCAATGCACCAAAATCTACCAACTTACCAAGGTGTAAACCAACGTATGAATCTTTATGTACACATAGCATGATCTAAAGATTAATGGTTCGATTCTTAGAATTGAGAACCATTTGGTTTTGGTTCTGATTCTTGTTCAGTTCAACTAAGAACCAAACTCAATATTGAAATTTTATCATTTTTTATATGTATATATTTTTTACAAACTAGTGAATCATAATTCACAGCAAAAAATTCAAAATTCAATTGAAAATCAGAACAAAAATGTCATGTACCTTCGGTTTTCATTTCTCAATGTAGATATTGGAGACCTTAATTCATTTTGGAGACCTAAACCTAATTCATTTCTCATTTTTCTCTAATTTTCAATTTATACACTGACTCTCACATGGAGACCAACAACTACTGCATGCCATCTATCGCCGCGCTCAGCAAACACTGTCGCGTGGATTTCTGAAATTGAAGCCTCAACCTTCGATTCTTTTTCCTCAAATGTTCTTTTTTTTCAATCAGTATTGAAACTAAAACCAAACCCTTATCTTAAAAAAAAAAAAATCATTAGCTCATGATTCGATTCGATTATTTTGAAATTAGAACTAAATGTAACAATGTCCACCCTAGTCGTAGCCTCACCTTCACCATCTTGCTTTTTCTTGAGGGTGAGGAGAATGTATTAGTAATGTGCTCACTGAAGGCCATGTGGCTTTCACGATCTTTCTTTTTCCCGAGACTGGAACCAAAGGAAAATGAATTAATAATGGGCTCATTATGGGCCATGTTGGCTTCATTAACTTTCTTTTTCATGAGGGTGGAATCAAAGGGGAATGGATTAATAATAGAAGAAATTACAAAAAATCAGAATTTTCAATTTCAATTTTCAGATATAAACTTTATTTATACAAAAATCAGATATTAATTCATTTATTTCATTTATATTCTCTCTCTAAATCATAGTTATCCAAACCTAAAACCTAAAGCCCTAATTTTATCCATCTTCTTCCCCTTCTCTTTCTCCTCCCCGCTAGTGTTCTCTCTCTCTCTCTGTTGTGCCACCACCGGAGCTTTCCTCATTATGCTGACTATTGGAAGCATAGCCTCCTCATCGGACCACGGCAAGAGCCTTCCTTACTGTCACCGGTTCTCTCCTCTCTCTATTCCACACTCTCTCTACTCTACCTCCCCTTCTCTCTACCTCACCGTCGCCACCAGACGAGAAGACGTAGGAGTAGCGCTGCTCAAGATCGCGTACTGTCGTCGGTAACGATCTACCCACCTGCAGCAATCTGTTACGATGGCAGCGATTTGCCCACCGCCGTCGGTAACGATCTGTGGTTTGAAGGGAGTGGTGGTGGGCTGTGGCGAGGAATGAAGAAGACGATGGTGTGGTTTGAGGGGAGTGGTGGTGCCGACGATGATGGCTATTAGTGGGAGGTAGTGGTGGTTCACGATTGGGGATTGTGGTGGCGGCGATGGTGGTTGCTGTAGGGTTTGGAAGAGGAAGACGACGTTGAATTTAGGTAAGCTAATGAGGTAGGCTGTGTATGGGATGTAGTGGGGTTTTGGGTACTAGAGTATTTTTGAAAGTGCTACACCAAAACAACCGCCGCCGCACGGCGACGGGTTTGTCGCGGTGGTGGTGGAATGGCGTGATGTTGTGGTGGTATTTTTCTGCGATGTGTTGATTAGTTTGAGGTGGTTGTGTTGCGTTGGGAGGTGGTGGTGGTGGTTCTTGCGACGAAAGCGATTGTGGTGCTGTTGGAGGGAGTGGTATAGTGGTGATCACAAGTGTTGGTTGTGGTCACAAATTATTTGGTTGATTGTGACCATTAAATTGGTTAATCTGTGACCAATAAATAATATGTGACCAATGAAAAAGATAAATTGTGACCAAAAAATAATATGTGACCTAAATTTTTTTTAATTTGTGCCCGATCATTTAACAATTTGTGACTGTTTATTAAGTTGTAACTTATAATATTTGTAATTTGTGACCAAATAAATAAATTGTTACGTATAAATTTTTTATTTGTGAACAATGAACAAATTGTGATCTATAAAATTTTTGGATTGTGACCGTAAAATAATTTCTAAAATATAAAATTTCTATTTGTGACCGAAATATAATATGTGACTAATTAAATTGATAGATTTGTGATCAATGAGTAAATTGTGACGGATAAATTTTTGATTTGTTATCAATGAGCAAATTGTGACCTATAAATTTTTTGAATTGTAACCGTAAAATAATTTGTGACATATGAAAATTGTGATTTGTGACCAGTTAATAATATGTGACCAATTATATGGAATTTGTGACCAAATTATATGAAATTGTGACCTTAATATATTTAATTAATAAAATATATGTTTAATTAATTAATTTATAAATAAATTTTTAAAAACTTCGAAATTTGAAATTTAAAAATATCTGAAATTTTAAATTTAAGTTCTTAAATTTGAAATTGGTAAAACAAAACCTCTTAGTTATATATTGTTCCCTTAATAATAGGCTCGTTATGGACCATATTGGCCTCACCAACTTTCTTTTTCTCCAGGTGTTACCAAAGCTACCACCCCTACGCTACCATCATCACTATCACGGTATCACCACTGGCCGACATTGTTGCACTTGCCACATGGGAGCCCTCCATTTATTATTATTATTATTATTTTGATAATAAATTTTATAAAAGTGATTTATTTGAAATATATGGTTAAAAAGGAAAAAAAATATTGAATTTATGTATAAAATTATTTTATTCAAAGAACTTGGGTTGAAATGAGTTTTAAAAGATTTCTTGAACACTTATCACGTGACCAGCCCACCAATTGCTAATTAGACCACTGAACTATTTCACTTCTATTCTCTCACTCCTCTCAATTCCTTCTTCAAGAAGCAGTACACTCTAAACTAGAGAGAGAGAGAGAAATAGAATCACTGGAAAAGAAGCATCCGGTTTTCTCTCTCAATTTTTCAAGTAATTTTTTTCTTTGAATTTAGCAACCGTTGATAAATTAAAATATTGGTAAATTTGTTATAAAATTTCTTTATTTGATTGTTGAATTGCGTTTCTTGAGCTTTGTATCCAATTTCTTAAGATTTAAAACTTGAATGTAGTGGCATAACTTTGTTGGTAATGTAAGTTGATTGTTTTTGGTTGAAATGTTAGAGCTTTACGAAAAAAATATATTTAATTTTGAAGATATTTATCGAATATCAATCTCTATGTTCAATATGTTATTTTTAATGTTTAAAAATTAAAATTGAAAGGAAATTCAGTTTATTTTATTTATTTGCCTAATTTTGTGAGAGGGAGAAATGAGAATTTACTCTTTTATCTTGATGATAGAGATTTCTTAATTAGTAATTGGGGTTATAGGCAACGAATGTACATATACACTCTCAAAACTACTTAATTTTGGAAAATTAATGGTGAAGTCTGCCAATTGTATTAACATTTTCTGCCTCTTTTCTGTTTATAATTAATTCTTTGCAATGCTATCTGTGTTCTTCGAAATGCCTGAAGTATGAATAGATCTATAACATTGATGGCTTCAAAGATTTAATTGTATACTATATGGATTAGGATCCACTGGTAGCATATATTTTGAAATCTGGGTTTCCGATTTGTAGCATTCAAATGCCATTATTGAACTGGCTTGTTTGTTCTACTTTGTCATTCAACAATGTGACTTTAGCATTGAGAATATATATATATATATACAATAATTTGCTTGTTTAGGTTTCCTTGTACGTTATTGAAATTGCATGAAAACAATGGTGGATAAGGTGTGAAGCAAGGCGTTTTGTCCGAGCTTCGAGCATACGAGGTGCCTGGACGAGCTTTTTAGAACAATGGACTCCTACGTAATACGTGTTTAAAATCAAAGTTTTACTTTGACTTCTTAATTTTAATGTACTTGCACATCCACATTCTTATAAAAATACATTTTTTCAAAACTCATTTTCAACCACACATTCTTCAATAAAATAATATTACACGCAAATTCAAAACTTTTCTTTATTTTTTAACTACATATTTTCTATCAAATCACTATTTAAAATGCATTCTCCACTCAATAATGTGCATCAAACAGGGTCTTATATTGAAATCCAAACAAGCGCATTGAAGAATTAATTAGACGTATTTTGCCATAATTTCTTCCTCCAAAAGAATATTTTCTAGGTAATATATAACTTTGTTTAAATACTTGAAATTGCAGATGATGCTTTAGTGAATTAGGTTGAGTATCCTATTAAATTCACTATGTTTGCATGGATCGAGAAAAAAGTAAATTTAATTAAGTTAAAGTGACTTTTACGAGGCTTTTGTTCTTATCTTAGACTGGTTTACAAGTTCAAGACAAAGTACAGGTTGATAATACTTATATCAAATTGAAAAAAGTTGCGATTTATCAAAACTACCTAGCATCTGTCCATTTGAGCGTCTGATTCTGTATTTACATGGTTTTTGGCTCGTCTAAGCCAATTAGATCTAGCTTCCTTCAAGGTGGGATGTATGTTTTCAATCTGTCTCTGTAATACTGGCATTTCTTGTGCGCTGGAGCAGAGTTTTCCATGTTTTGTTTAAAATAAAAAACAATAATGTGAATTTTCTTCAATTTACATCACAGTTTAAACTAACATGTAAACATTACGTTAAAGAAGGGTGTACAGTCTGCTCAAGTGAACTTCAGATTTGTCATTTGTTTTTCAAGTCTTTATTGAAATGCTTGCTTCTTTTTCCACTGAAGGATGAAAATGGAGACACTGCCTTCGACGTTTTCTTACACCAACGAGGACCAAACGAATCTCAAGCAATTACTCGATGCTTTTGGATCCGTGGTTTCTCTGGACGATATTGCTTCGGCCTACTGTCAAGCAGATCGCAATCTCGTAATTACTGGTGAACTACTCCATAAGATGCAGGGAAGCACCTCTGGCACATCTATTTCAGTTTCACAAGATGATTTGGAAAGCAAAACAAGTGTGTCTTCTGAATATCAAATGGATAATATCCTGGAGAATGTGTGTGTTTCTAACTCCAAGGCCAAGAAGTGTTCAGCATCAATGGGAACTGTGTCATGTGTGATTGGGAGAGAATATTCTAGACATAGGTCTGTACCTAATGAAACATGCAAGAAGACCAAACCACTGAAATTGAATTCAACAGATTTTCCAGTCTCTGAGATTCGGGATGAGAATTTGAAATCGGATTCTACAGCAAGGAATGAAACCCTGCATCACGACATTGAACAATTTCTTTTCAAAATGCTTGGAGATGGCTTTCAGCTTGAAATGGATGTAATTCATGACGTTGTTGGTAAAAACTCTTAGCTTAATACTCTCACCAGCTTTGCAGTTATAGCTAAAAGGTTCTATATATTTGTAATTGAAAAGTGAACTGTGAATACTATGACACATTAATCCTGCTGATAGTTATGTAGATTTCTTCGTTTCATGATATTATTAGAATTCAGAGAACTCTGAAAGTACTAAGACCGTTGAGATATTTTGTATGTACTTCGCATATTCATGCAATGAAACTAGACTTCACTAAGCAGCATTTTTGTGTGTTTAGCAACAGACACAGCCACTCAATGTGACAGAAATTATTTTTCCGAGACAAAAGATTATAAACTTAGATTTCTTGTTATTATTATGTCTAATCAATCAATATCTTCCATTTGCAGGCCAGTGTGGATATGACATGCAAATGGTAAGTCTATATTGATTTGCTATTATCAGCTCCTAAATTTTGCCATTCTTGTAAGATGTCTTCTGTTCTGAATAACAGGTGAAGTTTAAAATTTAAGAAAATTTTCAGGTTAAGGCGCCTTCTCAATTGTACTGCACTGATCTATCATTAACTTCCCATCTACATGTGCTTTTAGTTTATCCACATATTGTTATTTTGGTTTGGTATTGGCATCACATTCACAAAGTTGTGGATTTAAGTCTAGATGTAGCCAGGGGCGGACCCATGAAGGAAGTTTAGTTGGGGGCGAAACCAAAAAATCTTGGAAAAAATCTGAAAATTTGAAGAAAAATCGGGAAATCTGAAATTGAGTGGGGGCGGCGGCCCCCACTGGGCCTCATGTAGGTCCGCCCCTGGATGTAGCAACTTACATGTAATACCAAAGAGTTTGTACCAGCGTTCTGCTAGCAGTCTTTCTTAGAAGGAATTATTTGCAGAAATATCCCTTAGTGTTTTAGTGCACTCCTATATGCATTTTATTTTCTAAGTTTACAACTTCTCTTTGTTCTTTCTCTTTTGTAAATATGCAGAGCATGAATAAGCTTCTGGACCTCTCAGCATCATCATTAGCGAAGAAAGATGATGTTATTGGCATTGATGCTCATAAGGTGAGCTTGATTCCTAAAAAACCTACTTGGAAAGTTTCTCCATCCATTGTGTGCTTTACAAACGATCTTCGCACATATAGAAGCTCAAGATGGCTCCATTTGTGATGGAGTCATGAACTTTTCAATTTATGATTTTGAAGAAGCTAAATAATAAAATGGTTGTGCTACATGTATATAATGATTTACATATGATGTTGTAAGATATGATTGGATCAGAATTTTTTCAACCAAATAAATAAAAAAACTTCTCCACTCTCTTTATGACACCTCATCCATATGTAAATCATTGTGTAAGTTCTTATGTACAAGTAGCATTATTCATAATAAAATGTTTTGTGCTTGACGATTTTCCTTATCTCATCCCAACACGCCCCCTCCCCTCCCCTCCCCTCCCCTCCCAAGCACCCAAATTCCCCTCCATGTAGGTTCGTAACAGATTAAATAAAATTACGTTTCTTTTATTCTTAATTGATAAAAATTCTAATCTTGATTTAGAATGGTTTTTAAGGGATTGGAAATGTAACTCTAATTGATGTAAAGTTGCAGTATAAAGTACAGACTATTTACACTCTCCAGTTGCAAAATTCATTAACATGTACTGAATATCTTTTATAACCTATTATGTTTGTCTGTCGACTCATCTCATTACATAGCATATGGGGAACAATCCGGAGCTAGAAGATATTCTGTGTGAAGGACAACCACCACACCTCGACTCCCGTGATAGGTATAATTTATTCATTTGGAAACTTTTATAAACTACAAGTGTTTCAGTATTAGAGCAGGGGAACTCTTCTCTTAGTGCATGCTTGGGAAGTTTTTATAAACGGTTTAAATTATAAATAAATTGAAATGAGTGGTGGATATTGTCAAATATACACAATAGTATTCAATAAGACTTGATGCTCCTCTATGTGAGAGGTTTTCTCATTATCTAGAACCAAAATCATAACTAAATATTAGTTTATCTATATATGGTACAATTTTAATGATAATATAATTGTAATCTTCGACGATCTCCGTAATCTTATTCAATCTCATTGACGTCTCCCCTCAAATTGATGCTGGTAAAAGCATCAATTTGCAATCAAGAATTGGCGATAGTGACAATATTTGTGCCCACAAAGTAGAAATCCAAATCAGAACAATCATCTACGAAAATTAGCGACGACGAAAGACCAAGAATAACAAATAGTGTAGTAACCAATAAAGAACACTCCAAAGATACTCCAAAGAACTCACACTTCCCAAGAAGAATTTTCAAAAGAAATTCACGAAATGTGCTGACACACACAGTGAGTTCTATCTGTAGGGATAACTTAATCGAATACATAATTCGAGTTTCAACAAAAGCTTTAACACCAAAACACCGGCCAACACTCCACATACTGCAAGTGGAAGAAATCCCACAAAATAGACTACACCAAAAATCCAAAGATGTGATCCCTTTCTGAGAATCCAAAACTCTAGCTCATCGTCCGAGCAACCAAAACACAACAGTATGCGCTCCCATGTCCCTCTTTCTCTCTCCTCCTTAACCAAAAAGGTTTTTTTTTTAAGCAGCATCTTTGCAAACCCAAAATTCCATAACCTCATCCACCAAACCCAGATCTAGATCCACTATGCAATCCACAACCTAACACCTACAAATCCTAACGCGGCCCAAATGTGAACCCACAATCCACATACACTACTTATCACATGACAGCCTACATTAGTTCAAAAAAAATAAAGCTAGCCCAACACCAGCAGCCCAAATAAATAATTCAAAACATATCTGAATCTAGCCTAACAAAGGAAAGCCCAAATAGCATGTAACCTAAAACTACAGCAAACCTCATAAACCAAAATAATAGCCCATTACCCTATTAAACTACAGCCCATAAATCAAGCCACCTCTGAGCATCCACCATACACCTTTGCCTCTCACATCCAAAACCGTAAAAGAAATAACCCACATATCACTGCCTCCATCCTGTATTTCGACTCTGCTGTCGCCACCAGCAATGTACCTTGCAAATCCACTATCCCCAAACAGAATCTAAACCCAAGCTGCGAGTCACTCTAATCAATAGTCGTAGCTGCCAACCCTCCTTCTCACGTCGGAGCCTGCTATCGCTTGTGAATTCATATGATGTCTGCCTCAGATTTGATTTTTACCTCGGTTGCTTTGGTTGTTGCACCTCTGCCCATTGTTGAGACAACCCCCAATGATGCAATTACAGAGGAAGAAAGAGAGAAATCACTCTGAGGATGAATTGAGTTCTAATCCATATGATGTTCGAGCACTAAGAATTTAATGACAATTAAAACAAAGAGGAAGAAGTGAGACAAATGGATCATCTATTAAATCTGGGGAGACGAGGGATTCTGAAATTCAGGCTTCCAAGGAAATCAAGCAAGTGTCAAAAGTAGCTGTTAAATCAGAAGCTAAGCAAGTCAAAGGAGCTCTTCCTGAAGGTTTTTTTTTTTTTTATGACAAAGATTCTGATTTACTTGCACGAGGCATTACTCTTGTGAAACTGGATGTCAAGGATGAATATAAGGAGTTTGAAAAGTTAATCCAAGAGGATTTACAAGAGATAGACAATCGCTTGGAAGAAGAAGAGTTTGATGCAGCTGGGACGATTGAAGAAGCAGTCTGTGGAACAAAGGACTTACAGGGAAAGAGTAGAAATTCTAGGAAGAACTGGACGGGAGGAACAAAAAGCTCCTCCCACCACGAGAAAACCCAAACAAGAAAACAAGAGAAGAATTCTAAGAAAGAGTGTCATGTCAAATATACACAATAATATTTAATAAGACTCAATGTCCCTCTATGTGAGAGGTTCTCATTATATAGAACCAAAATCATAACTAAATATGGTAAAAACAATCTATCTATATATAGTACAATTTTAATGATAATATAATCGTAATCTTCGACGATCTCCGTAATCTTATTCAATCTCATTGACAGATATGTGGCTAGTACTTGTGAGTTGCTCAAAATGCATGGATAAAAAATGGCTTGAATTTGTATAAACAATTTATAAACACGAGCCAAACATAAGTTGAATCTAGAAACTATTTTAGTACTAAAAAAGCTAATGATGTTTTAATTTTGCTTTTACACTGTGCATGTCGAATGCTAATATTACAACTGGAAGTGAATTACGATTACCTAGAAGAGAGAAGGAAAAGCGTGATCTCCAAAAAGAAGTTCTAAAGGCCCTATTTAATGCACCCGAAAGAATTGAAGAGAAGCCAGAGAGAATTCAGCCGATTAGAGGAGACAGGCGAAGGACAACTTATGGCCGATTTGTGGTGAAACCGACAGAAGAGACAAGTTTAGAAAACATTACCTTTATTACAAGACGACAAGTTAGTAAAAGTGAGTACTTTGCCTCTTTATAACATGGTTATGGCTTTTTATTTTCTCCAATTCCAGTATGAAGCTTAGGTGTTGTGGATGGTAGATGATAGATGATTTGGTCAGAATTTGCTCATTACTTGGCTTTTCTGTCTTGGAATTTGATAAAATGTCTGTACTGTTTAACTTCGTGTAAGTTCATTTGTTATGCAAGAAGGATGTATTCATGAGTGTTGTCTGGTTCATTTGGTCAGCAAGTTTTAATTTTTCTCTGTACTACTTTTTTTTTTCTTCAATTTGAACTTGACTGAGATTATGGCCACTGGATTTATGAACTTCAAAGAAATTAAAACTTTGATCTAGATATTTTTGACGTTTATACTAATATTATATGTTCTGTTTTCCATAATGTTGCTTGTACTTAAGCTTGTGTTTGAATCTAATTTTGAAGAGAATGGAAATTTTGGAATGGTGATTGATGTAAGAATGTGTGGTGGAAAGTGATGAAAAGTTTTTGATTTGTGTGTAATATTATTTTATTTGAAGAATGTGTGGTTGAAATGAAGAATGAGAATGTGAATGAGAATGAGAAATTAATGGGTGCCAAACGGAGGCTAAGTATGGCTATCATTTAGATGATTTGGTCAGAATTTGCTCATTACTTGGCTTTTCTGTCTTGGAATTTGATAAAATGTCTGTACTGTAAGTTCATTTGTTATGCAAGAAGGATGTATTCATGAGTGTTGTCTGGTTCATTTGGTCAGCAAGTTCTAATTTTTCTCTGTACTACTTTTTTTTTTTCTTCAATTTGAACTTGACTGAGATTATGGCCACTGGATTTATGAACTTCAAAGAAATTAAAACTTTGATCTAGATATTTTTGACGTTTATACTAATATTATATGTTCTGTTTTCCATAATGCTGCTTGTACTTAAGCTTGTGTTTGAATCTAATTTTGAGGAGAATGGAAATTTTGGAATAGTGATTGATGTAAGAATGTGTGGTGGAAAGTGATGAAAAGTTTTTGATTTGTGTGTAATATTATTTTATTTGGAGAATGTGTGGTTGAAATGAAGAATGAGAATGAGAAATTAACAGGTGTCAAACAGGGGCTAAGATCTTATTTTCTTTTCCCAGATATCCTTGTACAATCTTTTCATTTTTTTAAGCGAGGACAATGATAAGATTTGCCACTTGCCATTGTTTTCATTTTCTAGAGGAGAGCATCTTTCTCCTTGAATACAGGGCACAAGTTTTCATGCTTTGTTATTTGAACTCGCTACTTGAATCATTTGTCCAAGTTTCTTTCAAACAAGGAATTTTTGGTATTTCAATGCTCAGGCTTATTCCAAAAGATATACAGTTCAGTGCACCAAATTTTACCCGTAGCCGTAATGCTTGATGACTACTTTCAAGCCTTTAATGCTGGAAATAGAGAGCATTTCTATTCTATTTCGTTGTTCATTACACAGGAATTATACATTTGCATTTACTGAAAAGGGTTATTTGGTTGCTTCGTTTCTTATCTTTTACTTCAATGCTCTCTGTGAGCGGTATAAATGGTTGTTCTTAGGTGGTGAAAATGGTGAGAATAGCTATGAGGACTTGCGCGAGGCTGTGAAGGAGTATTGGGTTGCGATGAAAGAATACTACAAAGCTGTAAGTTGTTGAGCTCCCCTGCCCGCACCTCTCCACCTCCAACTCTCCACAAAACCCGTCTGACTCTTTCTGTTCTGCATTGAGATCTGAAAACATTATCAGATGTAACTTTCAGAATTCTCGATTGACAATAGTCATGGTTTCTGGACAGGCTGTTGATGCATTCACTGAAAAGGATCATGAGAAAGCACAAAATTTTCTGCAAGAGGTATACTAAATGTCTCCTTCAAACTTGCACTAGCCACTAAAGCTTTAGATTTGGAAAAAATGATCAACAGTGTACCGTACTTTTTTTTTTATAATGTGATTTTTATACTATACCAATTTTTTTCTTGAAGTTCATTGTCTAGTCTATATCGACGTAGCATATGGTTAGATTTTGGGATTTCAAGCATGCTTTCATCTTTCAGGCCTTTCGCCTCTCTTTGACAAAGAAAAAATATACTATTGAGCTTCCTTTGTTAGATTGAATTATATGATCACGTGTACTTTTTATTTCTTCTTCTCTCTTACGTTGTTTCTTTTCTTTTCCATGCTGGTGGTGGGGGTGTAGGGACACTTTTTTATGAGGAAGGCCCGAGAAGCAGACGAAATATCTGCACAAAAACTTCTTGAGGACAGGTAAGGTCAAAGTTCTGTGCCTTTCGACTTTTTCCCATCATTCATCCATTGCCTATGAAATGGCCTAATAGCTTTCTGCAGTAGCACAGAAGAAGAATTTTCTCTTAATGTGCATTTATTTGAGCCAAAGGAAGCTGTTCACATGCTGAGACTTCACTTGCCTATTTTTTCGGGTCTTCCATGTATGTTATCATCCTTTCACTTTTCTCATAACTAGGTTTGGCTTATAGACTGAACTGTTCTTTTTTCATCAGCTGTTCAGCATCTCAAGGTTATAGTTGGGACCAATGAAAAAGATGCCAAAGAAGGGCTTCGGAAGCGAATGGTATGGGTATTCCTTACATTGCTTGATAATTGAAGTTTGTGTTTCTATTATTCATGCTCGTATTGATTAAGGATGAAACTAGATTAACTAAGAAATATAAAATAAGTGAATAGTTTAATACGCAATGCTGGATTGGACTGTAGATCCTGAAAAACTTGATTTTTCTGTTTATTTTTCTTCTACCAAACATGCCATAGAAGCTCACAACAATTTATATGCCAGTTCAAAATTACGTGTGCAGTTTCTAGTTTTGCTGAATATCGAAAAACTCATAAGATGTTATCCAATGGATTTCCTAATAATTTTTCATCGAACTGAACCAGATAATTCTGATGATAGATTACCTTACCCACAACTCCCACCCCATAAAAAGAGAAAAAAAACATTATGCACTGTACGTAAAGCACAAAAGAAGGTCATGAAATATGGAAGAGAAACAGTCTTACAATACTATTTGCAATTCTATTTTTCCTTCTAGTTTGGTTGCTGGTGTTATTCGAATAGTCTAGTATGTGGGGTTAAACACTGTAACTTTTGTACATCACTTACATTTTATCTGGCAAAATGGTAATGCATACTTCATTTGTTTTTGGTGGGGAAGAAAAAGATCCCAGATGGAGTACCAAGGTCTTGCGCAGATATTTGAGGCTTTTTACTAATATAATTGGAAATAATGTCCTGATGTTTCTGCTGCAGATTATCAAGCTTCTGAACCGGGAGTCTATACCGTTCACTGAGAATGAGAGTGGCAAGATAATTGCCATCCGGGTTGATGAGATTAATCCAGAGAAACTAAGTTTTGCTAAAAAATCGTAAATTTTCGAATTTGACAGGCTTGAGGATTGAAACATTTGAGGGTATTTACCAAGTTCGGCAATCCGGTGTTTTACTTGGAAATCAATCTGTTGCAAAATTATGAAAGAAAAGTTGTTTTTCCGAATTTGTAATGACGTGGTAAAAGGGTTGCATAATCGCTTGTAACACAAATTATTTTTGCAAAATGAAAGCAGAACTAAGCAGTTAGTAAAAATATATAAATTTTCGGCATATGTGAGTAATGTACTTCGAACACTAATTTTGATAGTCATGTGCTGGGTGATGAACCGTGTTGGTCACCTGTTACATGAGAATGATGAATTCAAATAGGCAATTGAGGTGTCCGGACTCCAACCATTCAATACAATATCTATTCCAACCACTTTAATAATACACAATTCTCGCAATATAACCGCCTAGACATGACGGTCGTTTTGGTTCACATAATCTCTTGTACGGGGACAGATGTCCCTCTGAATGTATATACATGGCCATGTGGACATGTACAAATAGCAAAATTGTTCTCTATTGTAGAAGGGGTGTTCTCGATTTTCTCAGACACTATTATATACGACTAGCATGTCAAAAATCATTTTACTTGTTACGCATAGGGTCTGAAGTAACAATATCGAGGTAAAAAGAGATTGATGTCTCATCTTTCTAGTCATGGAGGCAAGCACTATGTTGTAGCATGCTTCTTATGCCTAGGCCAACTGATCGACACGCTGCGCTATTTCTCCCCTCCTTCCAGCTTAATTCTCTTACACTCGTTGGGTCTTACTCGTTGATGGCCCCCACCAGAATTGGCATTTGTGAGCAAATCTAGCTGCGTATGGTTTAATTAGGGGTTGTCATTCAATATGCGAAGCGATTTCGTGCTATTATGCCTAGACCAATTGATCAACACGATACGTGATTTCTCCCACTCCTTCCAGCTTAATCCTCTTACCTTTGTTGGGTCCTACTCCTCGATGGCCCCCACCGGAATTGGCATTTGTGAGCGAATCTAGCTGCGCATGGTTTAATTAGAGGCTGTCGTTCAATATGCAAAGCGATTTCGTGCTCATGCACGCATTCCATCGAGGTGCCCGGATAACATAATTACACGGAAAGACTCTTTCTTAAATTCAAATTTTGGACAAAGCACAAATGAAAGTTTTTCCGATATTATAGTACGAAAGTATTATGTACAGAAGAAAAAACTATTCCCAATGGAATTAGATTTTTCACACTCTCTATAGAAAAGCTACATAGTATCCGCTCTATCTAAGACTGCTAGTAAGGGCAGTCCCACCATATGTACAGCTATACAACGATTAATAAAAAACCTAAAATAGGATAAGGCACAAAATAAAGCAACAGAAGAGAAAGATGGATACCCTGTTAAGAGACTTGTCCACCTGCATTTCTTGTCTTCTCAACCGAGGGCTACCATTTGCCATAATGGGGTAGGAATTTGTACGAGGATAAGAAAACAAACTTGCCTCCGAACTCCCAAATATTCTAGCGAAAACCATTTCACCAAACATATGTATTGTTGGATTGAAAAAATTGGTTGTTGTTGTTCCCCCGAAGCTAGATGGTGTCATTGGAGCATAATTATCAAAACTGTGATGAAAAGAAGGCTGCTGTGGCTGAAACGGATTGGGATGGAGTTGCTGATTTGAAGGGAGTAATGAGTTCATACCATGCGCCACTGGCCTGTGAGGTATGACGAGATCCAATTGGCATTTCTTGCCATCGGATTCAGCTGATGATGTGCCACGACCATAGAGGGGAACCAATGAAGAAGTTGTGATGTAAGCCTTACAAATTGGACATTTTGGTTTATCGTCTGATTCTAACGACGAGCTCTGAACCTGAAGCCATTTGTAAATGCAAGGCCAGCAATAGAGATGACCACAAAGGGTAACCACGGGATCATGTGCCGATTCTAAACAAATGTTGCAGTCAAAGCATCCATTTACATTTTCTGAAGCTGTTGCTGTTGCTGACACTGAATTGAAATTTTGTTTGTGTGAAACATCTCCCTCAGGTGAAAAATGCATAGTAGGGGCACCAAAGTCGTGTTGAAACGCCATATAACTGCATAAGAAAGCAAGAGATTAAGTATTGTAGCTAATAAAAGGTTTGCTAGTGTAGGTATCTCAAGATCAATGAAGTTAATGACACAATATAGTCTTCAAAAGTTGCAACAAAAACAATAAAGCCAAAAATTTCATATAGATTACGGCACTCCAGATAATCAAACAATCAATGCCAATAACCAGATTGGATCCATTGAATAAAATATTGCAAGGCTTCACTAACAGTTAAATTGAAGAGAATAATTATAATTAGATGGATCCAATCATGTCCCTATCCATTTGATATGAAAGAAAAGAATAGGGACAAGATGATCAATCAACTTTGCATAAAATAGAAACACTCTTTTCCTCTGTCCCCCTCTAAGTTTCTCTCACCATTTTCACAAGATAAGGTTGCAATAATTTCAAACACTTGCATATCTGTGACAGTACAAGTTACACATATATAGCATACCGAAAAATTACAAGCTTAAAAATTACACAAGTTACACAAGAATAAAAATTCAGAAACGAAGGTAGAAACCGAAAATCACAAGCTTTGATAAATTATCAACATCTTAAAAGAGTTACTTCTACAAACCGTGAAGTTCTCAATTCAGACCTTGGATCCATTCCCAGAATCTCAATTTTCTTATCTAATAAAAAGCGAAATATTGATATCTGTGACAGTACAAGTTACACATATATAGCGTACCATGATTGCTTTAAGAGTTATAGCCTTCAGAATGTCAAAATGATAAAAAATTATGGTAGACGGGTTGAAATGATGTTTCAACTAACACGCGTGATATATATATGCTATTCGAGCCAAAGCCAAATTCTGGTTAAACTTTTTAAATTGACAATAATGATATGTTCTTGTTCGATAGTTTCAAAAGATGCCACAGTAGATAATTCTGATAACTATGCGTTTTCAACTTTTCACAGGTTGAAAGTTCCAATAGCAATGTCTGGAATAATTTCCATGACATACAATACAGTAATAAATTAAACCGAAGAAAACCCATTGGACCAGCAAAATTAATAAAAATCAACTAATACACTTTAATCATTAACAACAAATAGGGCCCAAAGATGAGAATCAGCAAATATCTCAAGAGTGATTTTCCCTCACCAAATGCAATTAAATATGATTTCATTAATATAACAAATGATACCAAAAAATCAAAATTCACAATTTTTCCCCTTCTGATAGCAATCTTTGTATTTGATTGGCTTTTATCAGAACTTAAAAATTTATTCAATTTCTCTTTTGTAGTTAAAAAGATGTATTTTTGCTTATGAGATTAAATTAGACACCGCATGTATACAAATAAAAAGAAACAATGAACGGAGGAGTTTCCAGCATATAAATTTCGATTTTGTTCCTAAATAGCAAAAACAAGAAATCTCCACAAAATTAGTATACCCGAAATTTTGGAAACCAATACTTTGACAATTTTCCCCAAAATTAGCAATATTTGGAGCAATAAAATTCACTCAAACTAAACAAAGAGAGAAATGCAATATCAACGATCTAAAAATAAGGTAAAAACCATTACAAGAGATATCAATTGCAAAAAAAGGGGGAAAATCCCTGTAATCCAACGCAATACATAAAATCGTCCGAAAATATAATGTATTTATGTAAACGAGAGAAACAGTTAAGGAACATACCCAGCTGAAAATCAATAAATACAATCCAGAAAGAGAATCAGATACAGAATTTGGTCGCAGGAAAAGAATGAACTAAACGAGGCGAAATTGAGGAAAACGAGATACGAATGAATTGATGAATCGAAAATGTATATAGGATTTGGAATCTGGGTTTTCGATTAGAATTATATAGAAGCAAAGCGCGTGATTTTGAGATTTCAGTAATGGTTGTTGACACGTGTGAAGGAGTGGGCGTTGGGTTGGGGTGTTACGCGCAGTAGAAGTGATGGCTCCTCCGCCAATCACTCACCGCCACTTCAATATTTGTCATACTCATTAATTTATTTGTTTGTCAAAAACATTTTTAACAGTTACAATTATTTTAAAGAGATTAAAATCAAATTTTTAGTAAATATTGTGGTTGAAAAATTGTGAATCTCATAAAATATGTGGTTAAAATTAATTATCGACTTTGATTTTAAATTTTAATTCAAATCAAACAGGTCCGAAATTTGAAGCGCCCAAATTTGACGAAGCAAAACCAAGAAAAATAACCCTGAGTTATTACAGTGTGCTGTGCACACAAAATTAATCCATTGAAAAATGCGACTCGAGTACCCGACATTTTATGCAGCCCGCGAATAATCAACTGCTTCTGGAAGCTTCTGGTCCCAGTCATTTAATTAATAATATTAAAAAGGTATATGGTGGATAAAGTATTTTTTAATCATCATAAAATCAGTCTCCCTCCAGGTAATTTCATATGCCCTTGTTTTGTCCAGCTAACAAAGATTTGATTAATATTTAAGTCAAAATTAACGATAAATTTTAATCATAAAGTTCACGTGATATTTTTTTATCAAAATTTACCAAATATTTGATTTTTATTCGAACGGCCAAATGACATGTTACTATAATATGTCGTGTCCCACCAATCCATAATGGGCATGATTTGTACAGTAGAGTTGAGTTGCTCATGTAACCCTACGGCAGTAATTTGGTTAGTTGGTCTCTATAATAGAATATCGAATGCTAAATCAATGGTCATAAAGTCCATGACACACCATGTGTACTCTATTTGAAATAGAGGTGTAATGAATGAGAGATAAACTATGGGACACACGTTTGATCCAGTCCACCAATACCTAATTGGCTGCTTCTGGAAGCTTATAACTCCAATTTCACGTGAAGAATAAACTTGCCGAAAATTATGGTTTTTAAAAGAGGGCTGATATTGTAAGTTTTGGAATTCATGGGGACAAAACTAGTGTCGATTTACGTTTTCCACACTTTGAGGTTTGACTTCTTATTTTTTTCATTCCTCCATTTGGCAACTAATTCATAAATTATTTATGAATTCAATCAAAACCAAACACTAATTTTTACCACACATGCATAACTACTGCTAATTCATTATCTACACATTTAATATACCCACTGTCCCATAAAGATAAGCTTGTTTTCCTTTTTTGTCTATTCCAAATTATAAATCACTTTCCTTGTTGAGAGTATAATTGATTTTCTTAGTTTTATAATATGTCACTATTTAACGTGTTCTATTATCAACAAATATATGAATCACTTCTATTTAAACCATTACTACTTCCGTCGCATAAACATATGTTTGTTTCTAATATTGATTAAGAAGATGTAATTAATATAGTTATAAACATTAAGAATATGTGTGGAAATGAAAGTAAATCTACCTTTATGGGACGGATAGAGTATAAATTTGCCATACAAATTGAATTAGTTTGGCCTTAGCCCGAGCAAAAAGTTCTGGCCTTAGTTGTTGACACTTGGCATCACACAAGTATGATATCAATACAAATTGAGCTCAAAAGAGTCAATGTTTAATCCTCATTATTTTCAAAATATATTTTTCTTTTTTTTCTTTTCAGCTCACATTTTTCAATAAAATAGTATTATATGCAAAACAAAAAAAATTCCTTATTTTTTAACCACACATTCTCTATCAATTTCCTATTCCAAAATGCATTCTTACAAAATAAAACTCCACTAAGCCATGTTTGGCCCACATTTCCTATAACTCGTTTTCCCCCAAATTCATTTTTAGCCACCCATTTAATTGGACTCACGACTTTTTATCAAATTTCCAATCATACATTTCAATAAAATTTTATCAAAATCTACTAAAAATCTTAAGTTTTATCTAAACCAAATAGGGGCCAAGTGTAAAACAAAAAATAGAAACAATCGTGCAACTCGACAAAGTAGAGAAAACCATAGAAGCCAATCACTCAATAATGGAAATTTATAGAACTAAGATTATCTTAAAGAGAAGATGAAATACATTGTAATGGATAATATACGAGTATGGCCGATGCACAAGAATATAAGTAACAAATAAAAGAGAGAACTTAATTGCCAGGAAGCATGTTTAAGTACTTACCAATCTACAAGAACTTTTCTATGGAGGTTGTCAATGTTGATTCTGGAACAGCACCAACAATTACATCTTTCTTCTCTCCATTCTTGAAAATCATAACAGTTGGAATGCTTCGAATCCCATACTTGGTTGCAATTGAAGGACTCTCATCTGTGTTAACCTTATAGCAATTTAGCTTCCCAGAATATTGTTTTGCCAATTTATCTATGAGGGGGTGAATCATACGGCAAGGCCCGCACCATGGTGCCCAAAATTCAACTAAGACAGGTGAACTACTCCCAAGTACAAGAGAATCCCATGCTGCTTCAGTAACTTCAGCAACTGCAGTTTTTCAAGGACCATGAAACCGGTATTATCACTCTATCATTATTATGACTAAAGGTTTAACATGAGCCGAGTTGTTCCGGACTAGCACACTTTCATTTAATTTTACATATCATAGCCAAAACCACTTCATCTTATCACCATTAGTCAAAATGATGAGTTGACTTGTTAATATAGCTCATAAAGCCTCATAATAGAAAATCAAGAGGCATATGTTCATAAGACAACAGCATTCGGACTCTGATTAGTGGGAAGACAAAAGAAGAATAAACGAATCAGTCAAAACAAAAGAGTAAATCAACTAAAAAGGTCAGCGTTCATTGGGAAATCGAAGAAAGGTCTGTTTTAGTTTCTGAAAGAAAAGGTTTTCGTCTGTTGTTAGCAAATATAATAACCCAAAACGACCTTATAACTGTTAAATGCCTTTAACTCTCATAATCTAGAAAAAAGGTAGAGAAAGCTACTTGATCAATTACAGCAACTCTTGGACTCAGCTACAGTGGCTGTGGATCAAAGTACTAAAATGGTGGATTCCAGTTTTGGGGAAAAAAGCATGGTGGGTCTATGTTACTCTGAGAGAGCGGTGGATTCCAGTTTTGAAGACAAAATCATGATAGATCAGATTGGGCCAGAGAATTCACTTATATTTTCTTGGAGGATGAGAGCATGTAGGCTTGAGTGAGCTGGCACCAAGGAGAATAATTGTTAAGAGGACAAAATCGTGGATTTTGATGAAATTTTCTCAAGTATTCCATTTATTGGAGTTGGTTCATTTGTCAACCAGTAGAAAACTCAACCGAAGTCGAGATCGCATGGGGTTAGAATTCACTTCTTTTCGCCCAATTGCCCAACTCAACCCCAGTCAAATTGAGATCATTTCTCTTTGGCCAACTCAACCCTCGATCTCAACTAGCGTAAAGTTCATTTCTTACAAAAACCAATTCCCACCTCGGAAGCAATTTCTACCAAATTGCGCAAATCGATGCTAGTTGAGATTTCTTGACTAGGGTTAAGTTCATTTCTTAACTCTTAGAGGTCTACTTCCCCAAGTTGAGACCACAAGAATGGTGTCAGGTATTCAGATCACCGCAATCAGAATATTCCAACTCTACACCTCATCCAGAAGTTTTCAATCCCCAAGAAAATTAGAGCAAGTCTTTAAACTCTGCTAGACAACTACCAATGATCAGAAAAGTTCTACAAAGCTAACATGTAGGGCCAGAGGTCAATATGAGGTCTCGACATGATAGTCATTGGATTGAGAAACAAATGGAAGGGGGAGAGGATTTCCTAATATACTAATAACAATTTAAACTGTGAGCGAACACGAATATCAGCATATCACTAGTATATCACTATCAATTCTTAGGTACATTGACATTTTCATTAATAATTGGTAGATTATTTGGATTGTATATAAATGGAATGTTAAAAACCGTTGTCAATTGAACTCCTGCTCCAGTAAAAATTACTAAAATTGCTTCATGCGCTATGAAGTTTTCCCGTATAAATTTAATTTCTAATATTACGAAAAAACTATCTTCAACAGGTAAAGAAAGAAAAAGAGAAGAATTTCAGACCTTTAAATGCTGTTTCCTGAGCTTCACAAACGATTTGACTTCCACGGCGAGCTATTTTAGAAGTAGAACTCAGAGACAAGGCGCATCGATTTTGCTGGATCTTGAGGCCTCTGAACTGAGAGAATCTGTTCGAGCTGCGGCGAGAAGAGGAGGCTCCTGTAACCGGAGTCAAGGAGGTAGACGGGACAGCGGAGGCGCGTGGGACAGTTAGGGTTTCCAACACACAAGCCATAGCAAATACCACAAACTATGAACTCGCTGCAGAAAGGAAATGAAAATAAAGCCAATGATCGTTGTGTGTGTGCGGGTTTGTGGTGGAGTAGCGTTTGTTTGGGAATGGGATTTTTTATTGGAGATTAGTGGTGAATGGAGGAGGGAATGTGCTAGTGGTTTTAAAAAGGACCAAAAGTTATCCTGCTTGTGAAATTTTGGGCTCTTAGCGTCCAGCCCAGGATCCAGCTAGCAAATTTTGGGCTCATAGAGGTCTAGCCCATGGGCTATCCCTGCAGTGTGCTGGCTGGGCCCTGGCCAGTTGGTACTCAAAAAATGTTTACAGATATCAAAACGTTATTGCAAACTGTATAGTGTGGTTCAAGTCAACTCTTGTTTTTGTATAAGCAAAACCAGTAATAAAAAAATTTCTTCAATCTAATTATTGTGAATGTTACCGTGTATTATTAAAATAAACCAATATTATAAATTCCATAACCATATTACCCATCAAACTTGCCCAATATTATAAAATTCATAGCCATATTCACCATCAAACTTGCCCCTAACTTATTACGTTCAAATTTCAATGAAGAATAAAATTAACATGGATCGGAAAAAATAAACAAAAAATAAAAAAGTAGATAGGTGGTCAACAAAATATCCCATACCCTTGTCGTGCTGTTTCGATGTGTTCCTCGTGAAGTCATCTCACAAAGCGACGGAATAATAATGAATGGAGGTTTCGTCTGTAGTACCAATTTTTGCATGAATTTTCTCCACCAATCACGTTTCAATAAATTGCATATTTTTCATGGAAAAAGGATAAATGGCTAGGGTCTGGGCCATCCAGTGGGGCCACGTAGCCTTGCTCATTTTTCATCCACCCCAACTCTTTTCATCTCGACCTCTAAAATTTTAAATTGTTAACATATAGATAAATTAGTTACATAGAAATTTATTTATTATTGTTGAAACTTGAAAGAATTGAAGAAAGATAACGTCAAGTCACCACGTACCTTATTCTTTGGACGACGTCATACATGTTATAATGGTTAGATCAAAAGGTCGTGATCATACGAGGGTGAACTTACACTAAGGGTCTGTTTGATTCATCATATTTTCTATAGAACTTGGAATCCAAGTTTTTTGTTGTTTGATGGCAAAACTTTTTCCATCCAACACGTGACCCCTTTGCCATGTTTTAAGTGAATTGGTTTTCCCACTAAAGTGGTGGGAAAGTGGTTTCCAGGTTTTTTTTTTTTTTTAATAGAAATAAATTCTATACTCAATTGTAAAAAAAAAATCATTTTAATGGACAATTTTTATGAAAAATAAAGTCAAACGAATATCAAAAGATTCAAAATTTCAACATTTACAAGGTAAAAAATTATACTAATCAAACACAATTAATTGACAATTCTCAGGAAAACAATTATAGGCAATTCAATTCCTTAGAATTCATTTTCTTTCCACTCAAATTTCACTTTTATAATCAAACGGAACCTCGGATTATATCTTCGATTCAGACTGCAGCTGCAAGAGATTAGAATCGCTAGTAATTACTGGTCAATCATATGATCATGATCGCTCTCAGATCTTATACATACTCGTGACACTATAGGAGTTGGCTATACCCAATATCGTGTATTTTATAGTCAGTCAAAATTCAAACTTGTAGCGTCCTCCTCCTCCAACAACTCCACTTTACTTTCTCTCTCTACATACATATAAATACAAAAAGTCAAAAACACAGAGGACTTGTGTGCTTAATTCCACAGTCAAAACTCGAAAGTTTTGAGTTTCCTTCTCAACAACCTCTTTGTTTCTTGCACTGTGCATGATCCTTAATGGAGGTCACACATTGCAAACAGAAGCAAAAGCAGGTTCTGCAATTGCCGCCGCCGCCGCCTTATAGACGAAGAACCACCGTATTCGCCGGCAAGTCTCGAGAAGAAGTGAAGCTAGCTGCAATTGCAATCAGCCTCAACGTACGGCTGAGATCAGCCGAGATGCCATTCACCATGCAAGAACGTGCCGTCCGCCACGCTAGATCTCTCCTCGGCTCCACCACCCAAAGCCGCACTAAGCCCACCCCTCTCGCCCTTTCCCTCAAAAAGGTATTAATTCCACCACTCTCTCTCTTTTTATATATATTTATTTAAGTTTATTTTTTTATTGATCGATGATGATGGGTAATTGATTAGGAGTTTGACTCAGTGTATGGGCCGGCGTGGCACTGTGTGGTGGGGAAGAGTTTTGGATCGTTCGTGACATATTCGCCAGGTGGTTTCGTGTTTTTCTCCATTGATGATTCTCTGTCATTTCTTCTTTTCAAAACGGAGGTTCATTTGGTCAAGGAACCATCATGCACTTGATCACTTTACACCGTTTTCTAGTTTTCTTGTCAAGTGTTGTTAATTTAAACCAAAATCTGAGTTTTTATTCTCTTTGGACCGTAGAAGAAAGAAATGAACATGAAACTGCATGCTTTCTTTAGGAGGTTGATTTTATTTTTCTTGATTATAGTAAATTGGTAATGCCTCGTTTGTCTCGCATTATTCTAAAATATTGTTTGCTATAGTAAGATTCTCCATTACACATTCACCCAATAAAATATTCTACACACAAATTAATAAAATTACTTTAAATTACAATCACACGTTCTCTAAAAAATACTATTCATTACTCCATTTCTTCTACAATAATAGGAGACAAACATACACTAAGGCCCCATTTGTTTTCCATTATTCTAAAACATTGTTTGCTACAGTAAGATTTTTCATGACACATTCACTCAATAAAATATTCTACACACAAACCAATAAAATTGTTTTAAATTTCAATCACATATTCTCCAAAAAATACTATTCATTACTTCATCTCTTCTACAATAATGGGAGACAAACACACACTAAATCGTCTCACACAATATATTACGCTCGATCTCGTTTAGAGTGCGATCAACTCAATCACGAGCATGTTTGGCCAAACTTTTTTAACATTATGGGGTCATCTGTCATAATTTTTATGGATGCATGTTGTTGAATTCACAATTTTTATTTACACGTACATCTCGTGTGATTAAGATAACAGTAGCAATAAAAGCACGCGGAGATGCCACTTTTACTCCCATTTTTGAGAATATTTCAGCAAGAACCAAAGCTCACATTACGTGGAAAAAAAATCAGTGTTCTAAAATGCGTAATGCGTAGCGAAGCGTCGAGGTCGAGAATCAAGAATTACAAGTTTAAGCGTGTCAATGCGAAGAATAAGCGGCATAATGCGTTTCATATTTTTAAGGCATTAAATATATTTTTATATA